CGTTTCTCCACAGTGAGTTTGCACAGTTGTAGCGACGACTTAGAGGAGTGCTGCTCCGAATGCATTAGACGCACTTGTAAGCAGATTGCATAAACTGAGTACCACACAGTTAACAATTCGAGAAGAATAAAACAAAGTAAACGCATTAGTTGATTTGTTTTAAATAGGTAAATTGCTTTTTTAAGATTAAATGTCTTCGTGAAGTGCAGTTAAGAAAAAAGGGCGCAGACACATGGGATCACGCCGAGCTCGACCAGTCCTCCGTCTATGTCCGTTTGAACTGTCTGAGAAGAGCGGTGCAGCCACCACGGTGGACTCGGATCGACGGCATGTGACACCTGGTTCTGGTTTGTGATTGTTCAAAAAAGTCTTCACAGTTTTTGCTGTTGTTGTCGGGTGTGTAGCAGTTCCATGACTTCATGGATAAAGATATTCACTATTTTCTCATTTTCATCATAATTCACGTTTGTGCACACTAGCTTTCGTATTCAGATTTCCCACTTTCTTTCTACGGGTCCTTTCAAGGCCGTGCATGCGATTGTGTACCCGGAATTTGGCTGACACAGTAGCACTTCTCCGCACGAAGTCTTGTAGTGTCCTACTTTTAGGGAGGCGCTGACTCACACCTGTTCAGTCGGAGTGCAATTTGTGGGAAGGCCGGTACCAGGCTAACGCGGAAATCGATTAATCGCACTTGGGGTGGTTTCAGGGCCAAGCTCGTTATGAGAGGCCACCTAATTGGAATGGAGCATTTCTGATGGAAATTCTGACGAATCTGTGGCAATTTAAACAACTGCATTGTACTAATGTTGTTGCATTTACCTATGGGTTACTTTAAGTTCACCCCGACAAACAAGCAGCATTAATATCCTTTAGACTTACAGCGAAGTCGTCGTTATTCAAAACACAGAAATTAGGTCACCATTATCCTAAAATGCCGAATCCAGTCAGTCTGGCCTTACTAGCACCCACACACACACACACACACTTAACCCCATTGACACCAAGCGATATTGCGCAAATCATCCCACGTGTGTCGGAATTCCCGTCAAAAGTGCTGCATTAGAGAATTACCACAGAATGCATTTTACAGCACACTCAGTTGCTAAACTCCAGTTAACAATTTTGTCGCTTTACCGACAGCTGTTTCTCGATCGATAATCAATACAATTAAAATGACCCAGATCTCTCCAGAGTGCCAATCGATCACCGACAAGAGCGATCGTGACTGCATTTACTACAAATTTACTAAACACACAGTCCACTGCACATCCAGTGTGAAAGGGTATATCCTATTGTTGGTCCACGGTCTAACAATGACCTACAGCTCATCGTCCGGTGAGTTTAAAAGCAATCGTTACGGTTCCCGAATTGAGTATGGCCTTCTGAAAATCACCACGAGCAAACTGACAGTGGAAGCTCTGTCACGCACAAAGCAACGCTGCCAGCGTCATAGTTTAGGCTGATGACCCACATGCGGCCACGTCCGTTAATTCTCCCTCTGGTTGTAATGTTTCTCAAGAGTTGGTAAGGTGTCGTCTGAACCGGCTCAAGTTCAGGTTATTCATTAACCAAAACACACATGCTGCAAACCTACTCATATCCTGCAAACGAAAATCATTCAAACCAAAGTCTGTGCACTACACTTGAATTACAATCAAACAAAGTGTGGGGCCATCAATGGAGATGGGCGAAATGCCGGATTTGAATGTGTTGGCAAAAGAACAAGGTGAAAGCTTTTATGATTATCTACACGGTATCATCTCTTAAACCTAAATCGCCTTCATTTCAGTGGAACACACTTGGACTAGTCAGTGCACACAACCCAAATCATGCCGATTCACACACATTTGAAGCACGGGCCTCCATGTTTCCATCTTCTGTTTTGTCGTAAACACTTCAAATCTAACGGAAGCAGATGCGTGCTCTAGTCGCCTGTTATCCTTCAATACAATTAACGCGACGCATTGCCATTTCCTACATTCACGGCGGAAGAGCATTTTAACCAAAATACCACCTGTACACAAGTCTTGAACAGCTGTCGCCCATATCATCTGCTCAGTTTCACCAATTGGAGCATAGAACGTCATCGAATGTCGACCGAAGTGGACCGAACGGAACCGACAGCAAGCAAGGAACAATCATCTGCCAGAATGCTTGACACAATGTGTCTGCGTGCAAACAGACGCCTACCCGTAACTCGTAGTCGTGCACAAATGGACAAAGATGATGGTGAAATAGCTTCATAACACCCAAGTGACTTCCGCGGTGAGATCACGTGTGTGAATGATCGATTCGACTGTTCGTCAGGCTTCCACCAGCCACTGAAGCACTCAAAATCGCAGCCACTTGGCACCACAGGTCCTATTTTGAACACAAATGAGCACACTGCCCTGTGAGCAATTCTGATTACATGCAAATGAGATGCAGATTGCTTGCTTGCATTTACAGACATCGAGTCACCCGCTAACCACGATTCCTTATTCCGATAAAATGCAATATCACCTGACAAATGACAGGCAGATGTCCACCCATACCCAAAAATACCTGCTAATTCCTCCTGTGTCTGGCTGCCACGTCCAATTCAAAAAGAGAAGAACACACTCACGTAAATGCTCACAACTCATTCCAAGAACACATAAAACCATTGGGGCTCGATTCACAATTTCCAATTCAAATTAGTGCCATCACCTGAAAGCCATTTGCATCATTATCGCCTTCCGTCAACCCAAGAAATGATGTTAAGCAACCTTCGAGCGCAATGTAGCCATGATGTTCGATTAGGCGATTTCGTCCCTCTATCGAATAGTCTGACAATCGGATGCGACAATCGCAGTGCTGAATTAGCTTTACAAAATGTTCGACTGCCTCAATATGTCAAATTAGTCGTGAATTGGTCCATTTCGAAAAAAATGCCTCTACAATGCGTAAATACCGACGAAACAATTGCACGCATGATCAAAAGCATAGACACCCGGGTGGTGGTTTGGACAGGTGCAGCATGCATGCGCGATTCCATGCGAACCAGTGCCGAACCAGCTCCCACTGGTTTCGGTACACACCGTTTACTACAACGGATGCCGACAAATGTCAGCTGCGACTCAGCAGTATCGGTGCAGTTAAGTTAGTGCCAATTTCCTGTGCACCAGACCACTTAGTGAACAGTCCAGCTGTGAAGCGCCGTCACGTGCAGTCAGACACAAATTTGACACACATAAAGTGACGCAGTACCAGTCGACGAAGAACCCGTCTCCCTGTCTATTCTTAACTAAGCAATTACAAACACGTCGAACCAATCGTGATACACAAGTTCAAGCCAGATTGGAAATTTGCTAGTTCGCCACAGCACGCACATGCGTGTTTTAAAGGCTTCGCTCAGACAAAGACAGCGCCGAGTCATCACAACCTCGCATTCTATGCTTCCCAACAAACTGCTTCAATGATTTGCAGACGCCCAGTGGGACACAAACCCAAGCGTGTCAACCAAATCAACCAGTGTCTCATCTTGTGTGCGTGGCGCACCACTCGTGCGAATCCACCTCCCACTACACCCCCTTGCAGCTGCATTCTCCAGCTACCACACTGGCAGCGATCACGCTCCGTGTCACTTAATTGCACCCAAATCACTCAAACAGACCCACATTCACCCTCCAGCCTTCCCACATGCTAGTCTCACTCAGTTTACGCACACCAACACATCACAACTCCAACTATGGCAGAAATGCGATACCTCCTCATCCTCCAACTCTCACCCTACGCCCTTCTCCTCTTTCCGGCTTCCAGTCAGTCCTCTGACGACTTCAAAACACCACTTTCCACACTGCCACCGTACACATCCGCACTGGTACCAAGCATCAGCCTGCTCTCCAACAGAGAATGCCACGTGCTGCATCGCACCACTGCGTGCACGTTTCCGTAAGTCCGCATTCAATCAAGCACCACCACGCCGCGAACCAACTGCTTCCGGTTTCGCTCCTTTCGTGTGACGTAGTCTCAATTCCACAGTGCTCAACACAACTGGCGATGCTCCATTCGATCGCATTCAAACCCGGCCACCCTAATATTCGCAATCGTACACTCCAATGCTTGCGTCCCAAAGTACGACACACCTGACCACACCCCTCCCTCACCCTTTCACCAAAACCCACATAATTACAGCCATGTACAGAAGAGAGAGGATTCTAACAACCTTATTTTATTACTAAATCCTAACAGTAACAACATGATAGCAAACATTTAATTGTCACCACGCCATTTGGCCGAAACACCGTTGCAGCAGCACGATTTGAATTCACTCGACGCCATGTACTCCTTGAGGTTCTGCAAGCTCTATAACAAAAGGCAAAGTTGGAAAGTAACCAACACCAAGCAACCCAACTCTCTGTCTAATGCCACAACATCAACAAGATTCCAAGAATTTACCTCAAAGCGCTCAAGGTACGCCTTCAGCTTCGGGTACTTGTCCAGACACGCAGGCTCAAACTTGACCAGTTGGTTCAACAATTCACAAAGTGCGAAGTCTGGGTAGTTGATCTACAAAACATCAAGCACCGAATGCATCGCACTTACCAACTACTCCTTTCATCCACAGGCCAACAACTTCTCAACAACGTGACCTCCCCAACAAAACCGACTGTTCCCACTGGCGACCAGCATCTCACACTTCAGAAGACCCCATTCACTCGCTTGTTTCGACCTCACTCACTCAAGACCTCGCTTCAACCCACCACCGAGGCTACCTTCGACTCAGTTCATTCGTACTTCGCAAAATCACTGTCCGCATTTTACGCCCATTACATTTCAACGCATAATCCGCAGGTCAACTGCAATTACTACAAACTTGCGAATCGGACAGTTCAATCAACCACTCACCATTCACTTTGTCAAACATTCAGCAAACGCACTCATTGCCACTTCCCAAGTTACACACCACCTTTGCTACTTCTATGCAGAATGGAACACACTAGAGATTAACGAATGCTTAACAAAGAACTACCCAAGGCTTCGCTATTCATACAACTATGAGGGGGCCAAATGCAGTAGGGATGTGACAGGGCGACGCTCCCATAGTCTCCTCTGACGAAAGCTAGTAACTTCACCCCAAAATCTGCACCCCACGCCTCACCACGAGGTGTGCTTCAACAAGACACGCACGATCCCACCAAATGCTCTAATACCCTCTAACTAAGTCAAGTATCAATGACTTACCTTGTCTCCAGTCAACCACTGTTTTCCTCCCAAGTACTTCTCCAAGTCTCCCAGTTTCGGAGGCAGTTTTTCCAGGAACTCAGGCTTCAACTTCTCCTGTAAAGCAAAAACCGCTTAATGTTATTTAAACAAAGCCCTAAAGTGTAAAACAGAACCTACAAAACCAATTAAGTATGAAATCCCGACTCACTTCGTTCGATTGGCCGGTGCACATGCATTTTACAACTAATCAACGCAAAATTCACAAGCCAACTGGTGTAACAAAGGCAATACACGCCGCAAATCTAGGCCAGTTTTTAGTCATTGCGCAGTTAATGGGACGTTTAAGTAAAATCCAAGGACCAACAACGGCAAAGCACTATTGTTTTGCATCACTAACATCCTAGGTACAATGAAAACCAAGATGTTTACTTCCCGTCCACACAATACTCACTCCAAAGAGAGATAAGCACACTTACGAAATCAGGACTATAGCACATCCTAGCGAAATTAAGTCTGAGGTCCTTGATTTCTTCTTGGAGCATATGCAATTCTGCACGCATCTTAGGACAAGCCGGAACTACAAAGCAAACGCAATCGTCTCCTAGATTAAACTCTCTGCCAGCATCTACCAGTCATCCTATAACATTTCACAGACCACAACCGCTCTTACACATCTATTTACAATTCCGCCATTATCAGTCCATCATTAGCTCCTGAGCTCACGGAAACATCAACACCTGCTTCCAATCGCATTTGTCAGCACTGCAAGTATTCCATGCTCCACGTTCTCCATCAGCCCAATTGCAGCCTAATCTCGTGGCGTCACATTATTCAAAGTTCCAAGGCTACAATGCAGTCATCCCACAGTGGCAACTACATTTGAACCCCATATTTACTCAACATAAGATCCTTACTGCTACCATGATGACACCTTGGAATCACACCTACACACTACTTCACGACCTCATTTCGAATTAAAATCAACTTGACCCTACCAACCATCAAACACACTACCAATGCATTTTTGTGCTTTACATACCCCAACAAATACTTCAGCGTTAACTTAACTGGAAAACCCCAATACCAAAATACTTACTCATTCTGTGCTTGTCAGCAATGTACTCGAGGATTGCGCTGGATTGGGTCAATTTAACATCACCATCAATCAAATACGGTAGCTGAACAAACAGCCCTCGTTAAAATCACAAACCTACATTTGGGAAATCAAGTCCTAACGAATACTTGACTGACAACCATTCACT